AAAGGTGTTGAAAACATTTTTAAAGGCAATGACGTACTACCAAATGACGAATAATCACGCGAGCGACACTTGCTAGGAAGATGGCGACCGTGGGACAACTTTTTTACTGAAGTTACACATCTGTTCTTACTTAATCTATGATGAAACGTGAGCAGTAAGCGCCATTTTGGCAGTAAGTGTCGCACGCGTCATCTGGCGTGATAGCCTCGCGAAAATCGCGGACACGAAAATCATAGGGATAGATACACAGTGAGACATCTGGTATGATCTATAATCTATGGCTCAGTGGTCAGTACTAGCACAGAATAGGAAGTTATACCAGAAGCGTAACTCGAGCAAATATTTGTCCGCGTTTTTACAAGCGATTCGTCATCAATCACGCCATCCTGGCTAGTACAACCGGCACTTTGTACCTACCAAATCCTGATAAAAACTTCCGGCTGTACTAGCCAGGATGGCGTGGCCTGACGTGAGCGAGTTAAAAATTTTCGTGGACGTCAAACAATAAGGGAAACGACTAGAGTTACGCTTCTGGTATAACTTCCCATTCTGTGGTACTAGTGGCAGTACCATATACCAAAACTGATCTAAATAAACTGGATTTCCTAACGGGTAAACCGCTAAGAAATGTTTCCAGAATTTTACATGCATTTCGGCCTTTCGGGAGGGTATTAAACAAAATAATTTGCGAGGTACAATTCTAGGGGGCCAGGGGGAATGCTTCCTGGGAAAATATTGGGATCTCTGAAACGGCACTGCCTGTATTGTTTAATAGGTATGCGAAGGTCTCAAATAATCAGTGTCATATATTGCGGATTTCAGAATACTTGGCAATTATTTCCTCTAAAAAGAGGTTAGTATTCTTCAATGATACCTTAGTACTCGGCAAATAATTTCCTCGTGAATTTAGTAATTTTCACTGAATTCAAGATTCTTGGTATTCTTCCTCAAATTCAGTAATTTTCACTGAATTCCAGATTCTTGGTATTCGCATATTTATAGCATGCAATATACATTACTTCTTGGAAATATGACGTAGAAACATCTCAAGCGAAGATCCGGACCATACTAAAAATGGCGAAAACACCGAGCAAATTAGTCCTAAATTTTGGGAGTAAAATTGAACGGACGAGCGGTGTAAAGCTTAATTTCGGAAGTGGTACAACAGCCCCAGTGCAAGAATGGATTCCAGAAACCAAGATGGCCCGAACGAAAGTTATCAAGCTCCGTACGGCCGCCGAGACACAACAAGATGGCGTAACAAAATTGCAACAATTCAACCCTACTTTCTTCTTGGTAGAAGAAAATGCAATTCCTTGCCGTGTGCCGGGATGCAACGAGACGACACCTCGTTTGAAACCCTCTGATGGTTCACAGCATATCAAACAGGATTTATTCCTATGTGAAATACATCGCACAAAGTTGGCGAATCTCGTTTCGAAGCGTTGCGAGGAAGAGAGCATTAGCGTCAGCGTCGCAAGTTTCAAACACGAAGATTTCGACGGCTATACCTATCTGATTGGCCAACTGGAGAAAGCCTTCATGCATTTAGTCAAGAAACCGGTTACCTTAAACATGCCACAAAATAGCCTGTACCCGAACAGCGATTTAGTGCTTGCAGAAGTGTTTTTGAATGCTCGTAATTTTCTCACCATCACACACGCATTGCTGAATCCGAATGGAGATAATATAGGAGTAGTCATGCCCGCTTGGTTTGTGATGGTCGACCGAATAATGAACCACCTTAGTCAACCTGAGCCGCCGGGTGAGCCTCACTGGTTGGAACGTCTGGTTAGTATAGTCATAGTAGCGAACTGTCTGTGCCACGATATTACCGTACTTACAAAAGAGTTCATTTTTAATAAATAATATTAATAATAGCAGGGACCGCGGAGTCTGCAGCTAGTTCAAAAGTGTGTGTGTGGGGCGCGGGGGGGGCAGGATAGCACGGAAGCTGTGCCATGCAGGCAGGCTGGATTTTATCCGATAATGGATGAGTTGCCGGTTCGTAGGCCCCCTTTGTTTTGTGCGGCCAATTGCCCCCTGGCGATCCCATAA